TTAGTATATTTAAGATGTGTGCTTTACAACTAGCTTTATGAAGGACTCTGGAGGATTAAAAATGTACCTATTTAATTTACATGCCCTTCTACTCAAGGCACCAAACAAAGGCAAAAACAAAAACAGGAATTTAAAAATATAAACATGATCACTTTAAAATCAAAAAGCAATTCGACTGATAATATAGTAAATAAAGCTGTATATTTTTCTATTACACTGCAGGTACCTAAAAAAAGACATGTCTTTTTTATATCATTGTATGTATAAATTAGGGAGTCATCTTGCTTTCCCTAAAAGTATATTAATAGAATGCATTGTTGAAAGTGAACAAATGAGCAGGAGGTGCAAATAAGCAAGCCAATAAGATTGAACCAGGAGTTTAGAAACCAGTGCCAACACCATGAAATGGGGAGAGGCAGACACATGTGTACAATATAGAATTCATTCCTATTCAGTGAGGTCAGGTGCATGCTTCAATCTCTTTTAATTCCCTCCAGGTAGAAAGCTGTGATAACAGCCTCCTCCATCCATGGGGGGCTCAGAAAAATCAGAACCTCGAAAGGGAATAGAACAGAACAGAAGCTGGAAGGGACCTTGGAGGTCTTCTAGTCCAGCCCCCTGCTCAAGCAGGAGAACCTATACCATCTCAAATAAGTGACTGTCTAGCCCAGTGGTTCTCAACCTTTTTAATGCCGTGACCCCAACCGGTCGTAAGTCGAGGACTAAACCGGTCGTAAGTCGAGGACTAAACCGGTCGTAAGTCGAGGACTACCCAACCGGTCGTAAGTCGAGGACTTTCCCTGCCCGGGAGCGCCGCGCATGCGTGGTTCCGCCCCCTGCACTGGCCGAGGCGTAGCTGGCAAGCGGCAGAGACGGAGCAGGCCGACCACCAGCTGGCCCAGCCCAAGGGAGGTAAGGCACCCGCCGGAAAAGGGGGAAAAAATGGTGGACAAAAAAAATGGCGGACAGAAAAAATGGCGGACAGCCTTGCTTGGCGACCCCCATGAAATGGTCGATCGACCCCAAATGGGGTCCCGACCCACAGGTTGAGAACCACTGGTCTAGCCTCTTTTTAAAAATCTCCAGTGATGGAGCACCCACGATTTCTGGAGGCAAGCTGTTCCACTGGTTAATTGTCCTCACTGTCAGGAAGTTTCTCCTTAATTCCAGGTTGCTCCTCTCTTTGATCAGTTTCCAACTATTGTTTCTTGTCCTGCCCTCTGGTGCTTTGGAGAATAACGTGACCCCCTCTTCTTTGTGGCAGCTTCTCAAATACTGGAATACTGCTATCATGTCTCCCCTATTTCTTCTTTTCTTTAGAGTAGCCCACGGGTCGGCAACCCGTGGCTCTGGAGCCACATGTGGCTCTTTGAGCCTTCTCCCGTGGCTCCCAGCCTCCTCCGCCATTTGCAGAGAGAGACAGAGACAGAGAGTCTCTCTCTCTCGCACCAGTTTTGTGGCTCCCAGGGTTTTCTTTTCTCTGGGAAATGGGTCCAAGTGGCTCTTTGAGTGTTTAAGGTTGCCAACCCCTAGACTAGCCAAACCCAAGTCCTGCAGCCATTCTTCATATGTTTTAGACTCCAGGCCTTTGAATTTTTTCCAAAGACTCAACATCTTTTTTGTGATATGGTGACCAAAATTGGCTGCAGTATTCCAGGTATGGTCTTAATACGGTTTTATAAACTGGTACTAATACTTTGCGTGATCTTGATTCTATGCCTCTGGTTATACAACCCCAGATTGTATTAGCTTTTTTGGCTGCTGCTGCACACTGCTGGCTCATAGTCAAGTGATCCTCCACTAGGACTCCAAGGTCCCTCTCATAGTTACTGTTTTTAAGCCAGGTCTCGCCTAATCTGTACTTGTACTTTGATTTTTCCTGCCTAAATGTAAAACTTTGCTTTTCTCCACATTGAAACTCATTTTGTTGGATAGGACCTATCCAAGTTTCCATTGATTTATTATTATTTTTATGTTACTAATTGTAAGTCGCTGTCTTTGGAAAGGGAGCAAAAAATAGATAAACTCAGTGTTAAATATTTAATGTTCAGGATGGTGCGTTTGAGAAACTGCTGAGTGTGAGGCTTTACCTAGGTTGTCTAGGGCAGGGGTGTCAAACTCAATTTCATTGAGGGCCGCATCAGCATTGCGGTTGCCCTCGGGGGGCCAGGTGGGTGTGCCAGGATGGGTGGGGCTTACTGGGTAGGTGTGGATGGAGTGGGTGTGACCTACTGGGGGCCGTGGTCACCTCTACATCGTTCGCATCAAGGGTGCCTATGGGGGCCTGGGCAGGAGTGAGACAGATCTGAGGGTCTCTGGGAGAAGGGGGTGGGACCAGGGCAAGTGCCAAGGCATGGTCCACTGGAGGAGTTTCACTGTTCCTCTCAGGCCATGCGGGGGGGGGGGCTGGATGGTGGCGTGGGCTGCCCAGAGCCCTGGGCAGCAGAGGTCAAATGCCCAGCCTGGCCCTCGAGCACCTGCAGCACCAAGCCCAGCCCCACTTCCCCAGCTGCACTTACCTCCTTCTCAAGGCTGCTGCTGCTGTGCTTGCTCTCCTTAGCCAAGTGGCTCATGATGGGTACGAGGGCAAAGTCAGACAGAGGCCCATTCCCTCTCCATGGGAGGAGACCCAGCTTTGTATCCAAAGCTTCCTTAGCAATAGGATGGGAGACCCCATGATAGGCCAGGAGGAGGGGGTAAGGGGATGGTGAAAGGGCAGCAGGGCAGGACTAAGGCAGGACTTCCCTCAGACCCTCCCTCTCCTTCTTTCCTTCCTAAGCACAGAGTGGTGGGAAAATATTTGGGATGAGGGAAGGAGAAAAACAGGCAAGAAACGCAGCTGGGGAGGTGTCACCCTTCGTGAGGAATGAAGAAATGCACTATCTCCTGGAAGTGGCCAGCACATGGCCCTCACCTACTTCATATATCTGGCTTGGTGGGCTCTGGGGAAGGGGATGCCATGAGCAGCGTGAGAGTCAACGTTACCTGCGCAATGTCACCCAGCCCCCAACCTGCCCGGTCTCGGCAGGCAGCGGGGCGCTCTCCTCACAGTGCCGAGAGGCTGAGCTGAGTGGCGCGAATCTGAAAACAAGCGCGAGGCCGCCCAGCCCCCAGCCTGCCTGGTTTCGGCAGACAGCGGGGCGCTTTCCTCACAGCGCCAAGAGGTTGAGCCAGGAGGTGTGAAGCTTGCCAGCTTCGCACCTTGCTCCATGCTGAAACTGGGCAGGCTGGGGGCTAGGCAGCATTGCACTTCTCATCAGATTCGCGCCACCCAGCTCAGCTCTTGGCGCTGTGAGGAGAGTGCCCCGCTGCCTGCAGAAACCCCTCCCTCGGAGCCCATCAAGCCGGATATGTGAAGTAGGTGAGGGCCATTTGCTGGCCACTTCCAAGCGATGGTGCATTTCTTCATTCCTCACTAAGGGTGACACCTCCCCAGCATGCACCCAGGGAGGCGGGGCTGACATGGCAGGGGCTGGTTCCTCACTATTTCCAGATGGCCTTGTGGAGCTAAGACTGAATACGTTTCAGCATAGATAGCCACCACAAAATTGTACATTGGCTTCCGGATGGCCTGGGCCAGGGCCAAGGCAGTGGGGGCCGTTCCCTCACTGTTTCCAGGATGGCTTCGCGGGCCACATGAAACCACTTTGCAGACTGCATCCGGCCCACAGGCCTTGCGTATGACATATCTGGTCTAGGGTATTTTCATTTCTCACTTATAGCGCTTCCTTTCTACCCATCCCCTTAGCTCACTGTGAGCAACTGACTGGCTTGCAAGTAAACATCCTGACTTACAGAAAGATCCAAGGAAACCATTGAACCATCACAAATGCCAGCAGTGGATACGACTAATTAAAGCAGCAGCTCCCAACCTTTTCTATACCCCACACCCCTAGAACGCTTGATATATTCTCGCACCCCTTACAAAAGTTCGAAACAACAGCAATGAATTACACATATACACTATAATTTTGAAAACCCAATTTTCCGCACCCCCTGGAATATCGTCTCGCACCCCCAGTTGGGAATCCCTGAATTAAAGGAAGGGGTGGAGACACCTTTGCCAATTGCTCCCGTGCCTCGACTAATACAATTGAGAAGGATATGAAAAGGCGCGGCAGGGCGGCGGAGAGCTGGCGACGGCATGCCTCTGGATCCCAGCCCTCCACCTCGGACAACAGCGAGATCTCCTCAGGCTCGGCCTGAGCCATGCCGCTCACTCCGTATCTGCCGCCAGAAACGAAGGTCCTCCTCCTCCTCCTCCTCCGCTCAGCGCGATTCCCATCAAACACCGCGGCAACCATAGAGCGAGCTAGTCCTGCGACGGAGCCGCTCTGGAAATTCTTTGGAAAGCGAAACCCCTCCGGGCCGCGTGGAGTTTAGCATATTCAGCCGCCGGCGAGCCTCTCCACTAAGTCGATCGGCTGCCCGGCCGTGGGCTAGACGCTTCTTCCTCCCGTGCGAGGTTTAGTTTTCCGAGTCTGCCAACGCCACCATTCACGAGGTTGGAAGGAAAGGATCCTGTATTGTGTGGGAATTAGGCTGCTCTTGGAAGGAAAAAAAAAAGGAGGGGACGAGGGGGAGTTGCATAATCAAGTATCGGTAATAGTACGAGGCAGTGAAGTACTTGGTGTGTCAGATTTAGTCACGCTGGGTTCCTTTTTCCCATGGAAACGCGGTGAAAAAGATTCTTGAAACTGGATCAGATTTGGGGGCAAATTATTTCTGAACAACAAAGATTGCTGTCTCTGGACAACACACGAAGCCATAACCGAATAGTGTAGCATTTATGAGTATTGTTAAGAAACAATATACAGTCTAATATATATGCTGTATACATGTGTAAAGATATTAGAAATAGTGTAAATTATAAGTGGATAGAAGTTAATGTCACTTTAAAAATAAGATTTGTACATTTCTTTTTAAGCACAACCAAAATCAGTATATGTTTGCTTATTAATACATCAGACATAAACTTTTTCTGTTTATTTCTCAAGACAATGGAATTTCAATTCAACTTCTCTGTAGACCAAATAACAGAAAACAGAACAGATACTGCTGAGAATGAAAAGCTACAGCAGGAAATGGTCCTATTGAATAATCAAGGTGACGTTTCAGAAAACAGCAATAAGATTACCTCAGAAGAAAATATATTATATTACTATTTATCTGGAACCACTGCTAATATATCAGACCACAATACTTTGAATGGAAGCCCTGACTCAAGTTTGTTGAGGAAACAGTCCTGTCTCAAATCTGCCAAGGTGCATGATATTCCTAAAGATATCAGTAAAGTCCTTGAGAGCAAAATTATTGCAACTTTACCAGGCATTCACTATGCAAATATTTCTGTGGTGGAGGCTGCACTTCCAGGAAACTCTGTCGGAGAAAATATTATGCCTAACATTTCTTCTCAGTCTGACCTAATTACAGGTGTCTATGAAGGAGGTTTAAAGATTTGGGAATGCACTTTTGATCTCATGGATTATTTATCAGAAATTGACATTCAGTTTGCACAGAAGTCAGTTTTGGACTTTGGATGTGGAGCTGGACTGTTAGGAATAGTTGCATTAAAAGGAAATGCCAAAGAAGTTCATTTTCAAGATTATAACAGTTCAGTAATTGAAGAAATCACCATGCCGAACATGCTGGCTAATTGTTCTCAAGATGATCATGGTGAAGAAGATACCCAATTTCACCTAAATCTATCTAGGAAGAAAGACTTCACCCAAGATTTTCTATCTAAATGCAAGTTTTTTTCTGGGGAATGGTCAGAATTTAGTAAATTTATTTTAAATAATACCAAGCCTTTAGTAAAATACGATCTCATACTTACATCAGAAACTATTTATAATCCTAATTACTATGAAGCTTTCCATGATGCACTTTCAAGTTTATTAGCAAGAAAGGGCGCCATATTTTTAGCTAGCAAAGCACATTATTTTGGGTGTGGAGGAGGGGTCTACCTTTTTACAAGTTTCATAGAAAAGAAGAATATATTTAAATCTCAAACAGTTAAAGTTATTGAGAAGGGGCTCAAGCGTTTCATTATTAAACTGACATTTAACAATTCCTGTTAGCCAATTCCTGTTGGCTCAGCATATTATTAAATATGTATTTTCTGTTATCAGAGGTGTTGTAATTACTAATACATTTAACTTTACACAATAACTTTTTTCATTTACCATGTTTTCTCATCTCTGAATTATTTATAATTATTTGTGCAGGGTATGTACCACATAAGCATATTTTTTACCTTAGATTTCACAAACTAGGACCATAATTTATCTAAGACTGATACTACATATGTAATATCTTTCCCTCTAATACATCAATCACTTATCAAAATTATCTCAATAATTTTTACTGGCTTAAAGATCCATCTAGTCTAAAACACTAAGACAGCTGCTTCAAAAAAGCAAAATAGGAACAGCATTATTCTATGCTTTAAAAATTCTAAATTCATTGTACATTCCATCTCTGAGATACCGTGGGTAAATTACATGTATGAGAGAAATTTAACTTTATTTTCTTTATAATACATGGGGTAAGCAGCTTCCCTCTACATGCTATCCTCTTTTTCCTTGGGTGGTTTTTTTGACCTCTTGGTATCATTTTCATTGATTGATTGATTCTTGGAAACAATATGGATAAGTCCATGCACTTTTTTTGGCATGATTTTCAGAAGTGCTTTGCTGTTGCTTCATCCCAGGGCTGAGTGACTGGCTCAAAGTCACCCAGTTGCCTGCTGCGCCTAACTCAGGATTAGAATTCAGGTCTCCCTATTTCTAGTTGAGAACCTTAACCAAGGTCAAATTGGCTCTCTTGCTTAAAATTTTCTCCTTACCGCTAGAAACCAGCAACCGTATTTCCATTATATTCTTTCCAGATGTTTCCCTACCTACTTTTTTTTAAAGCTCGTCTCATACTTTCCTCTGATCTTCAATTGTTCTATCTCTTGCTTTCCTTATTAGTCCAAATTCATAAGCAATAACTTATGAAGCATGCTTACCTTTCACTTTTCTAACAATTCACAGCAGTAAAACCAAGCAGGTGTATGCATTATGCTAGAACAGGGGTGTCAAACTGCTGGCCCGCAGGCAGTGCCGAAACCGCACCCTCCCATTGTCAGAAATGGAAAAAAAGTCACGATATGTTGCGGCATGTCACGTGACATTGCGAGTTTGATACCCCTGTGCTAGAAGCTGAATGTGACCATAAATTAATTCCATTTTTTTTGGGTTCAGATAACAAATGAAGAATCACAATAAAAATTGTATTTCAGCACAATTTAATTCAAGGTCCTCATTCAAATAGTGAAGTAGATCTACTCCTTACATGGTTGATATGTCTTGTCATGAACAGGGATTTTTTTATGAAATCTTAGTTGTACAGAGTTATACTGTGATTATGTTTGCAATGAACCTCGTTAAATGCCTTTTCAATCTAGCATGTATTGTGAATCCAATTCATATGGTTATCTTTATGGTACAAGTACAAACCCACAACTGAGTAAATTGTAATTAAACATATGTCATCAAAGCACAATCTATATCTTAATGTTTTTAACTATTTAAATTTTTTAAATTGCTCTGGGATTGGATGACAAAGTGAATGTCATGTAATTGCCCACAGGAGAATTTATATCCAGCATCTGCAGTTGCCAGCATGTCAGTGCTACCTAAATGGCTCACAGTGCCCCTTCTAAATTAAAATACCTTGTTTCACCGAAAATAACACAGGGTCTTAATATTTTTTTTTCCTCCAAGAGGCAGCAGGTCTTATTTTTCGGGGGTGTCTTTTATACTCACCTCTGGCACTGACAGCCCTGCCCAGCCGGTCCACTTCTTCTGACTGAAGGAGCAGCTTCATTCTGCAGCTGCATCCCGACCTGCATTTTGGAGTCAGGCCTTTCCAGAAGGCCTCTGCAGCCGAGTATAGAGCTATGGATTGAATCCATAGCTTGGTTCTCAGCTGCAGTGGCCTTCTGGAAAGGCCTTTGACTGAGAAATGCAGGTCTGGCTGCAGAAGACACCACAGAAGAAGAAATGGGCCGGTGAGGAAAGATCTGGCTGCCAGGTAAGTGGGTGCGGGCCATGTGGGCCAGCTCCACCCCCCCTACCCCTGTTCTAGCTTGATTTTTAGGTGTGTGCCTTACCCCAAAACTAGAGCTTATTTTTGGGATAGGGCTTGTATTAGGCCCACCCCCCAAAAATCAAGCTAGGGCTTATTTTCAGGGTAGGCCTTTTGGGGAAATGGTATTAATGCCATTGTATTATTGTCATATTATATACAATTTTGATTTTCCCAAATAAGGCTCTAAAATTGCATTATTTTAGGGAAGGAGTACCTGAAAAAGATGTATATCCCTAATTTGGAGTCTGGAAATACAAGTATTGGGTATGATATTCAAGATAATTTCCATGAATTTTAATATTGAAACTGGATGAATTATCAAAGATCATGTGTTCATCCTGGCTTTGATTTGGCAGTTTATCAACAAAAATGGAAATATTTACCAATGTTCACGAAGTCCTCAAAGAAAGCTTGACTTGTATGAAACTTTATTCCTTAAAAATGCTTAAAAGAGGGCTTGCATCAATGCCGGGTTCAAAATTATCTTTATGGCAATGTAAACTGGAAGTAAGTATAGATTTCAAAGAAATTCAAATGTTGTCAACAAGATGTGATCCCAAATTATTTAAAGCATGAACCAACCCATTCATATCCTATTTTTTTTATTCAGTATAGGCTAAATGCACTGATTGTGTTTCCTCATGGAAGCTTAGAATTAAGTGTATACTATCTTGAAAATATTCAGATTTATATTAGATTATACAATTTATTTCTTGTCATCTGACCAGCTAATTTCATAATCTTTATAAGTTCTCTTCAGTATTTCAACAGTCGCAGAATGATCAGCTTTGCCATATCCCTGTAAGAAGAAAAGATTTCTAGTATCATGGAATCATAGAATAAAAGGATAGGAAAAGACACTCAAAATATTTTACTCCATTCTGCTATAGCTATTGAGCATGATTATTTCCAAATAAATTTATTCCTCGTAATACCTGCTCAAAGCAGACAACTTATGATAAAATAACAAGTCTGCTCAAAGCAACTTATGATAGAACTCAGAGCAGGTTATTTATGATTGTTCAGTGTTGCCCAGAGCCACCTTTTTGTGAGATGGGTAGCTATACAAATTTATTTTGTATAACTCAAGCAGATGATTTATGATAAAACAACAGATTTGTTTTACTTGATTGTTCTATGCTGCCCAGAGTCACCTTTTGTAAGATAGGCAGCTATACAAATTTATATAAATAAATGATAACTACATTAATTTCTTAAATAAAACTGAAGAACAACCAATAGTATCAAACAGCTGTATTTTGTAATTTTTTGTGTTTTCTATGATGCATCATAAATAGATTTTCCCTAAACTAGGAATGACTCCTGTGTCCCCAAGATCTCTTCAGAACAGAAAACAATAAAAATAGATTCTGGATTCATTATGCCTATTATTCTGGATACTATGTAATTTAGATTATGTTTTTGTTTGGAGTTTTTGTTGAGTTTTGCAATCAGCAGAATTGGGAATGTGTGAACACAATAAAAAGTCCACAAACAATGATTTAACATGAAAGATGGTACATATTTGAGGACAGCTGAGAGTTACAGAAACCTCATCCTCAAATCTATTACTGTTCCTTCTTGTGAATTAATAGCAATACATTTATAAACACCCTAATCTTAATATGCAAATTAAATTGTCATATTTGGGTAACATGTAAGCAGCACTTAACTGTAGAAAGGCCAAATACACGGATTTTCTTGTCTTTGCTGTTAAGTTCAATTTTTCCTCCTCCAAGACACTTGCATACAAAGCCTAGCTTTTCCATTTCAGGATTTACTTTTTCAAATATGTGATCTGTAATAAAAAAATAGAAGCTAAGCTGACTATCAAGACTATATAAAACAAGGATCTGTGAAATGTAAACATTGTAGGAACTCTATAAAAACTCTACCTTGCCTGAACTATAGTATTCATGCAAGTAGTTTTGAACATATTTATGTCTGGAAAGGATTTATTATTATAAACGAATATACAGGTGAAACTTGAAAAATTAGAATATCGTGCAAAAGTTCATTTATTTCAGTAATGCAACTTAAAAGGTGAACCTAATATATGAGATAGACTCATTACATGCAAAGCAAGATAGTTCAAGCCGTGATGTATCATAACTGTGATGATTATGGCTTACAGCTCATGAAAACCCCAAATCCACAATCTCAGAAAATTAGAATATTACATGCAATCAATAAAACAAGGATTGTACATAGAACAATATCGGACCTCTGAAAAGTATAAGCATGCATATGTACTCAGTACTTGGTTTGGGCCCCTTTTGCAGCAATTACTGCCTCAATGCGGCAT